AAAAGTTTAGGATCCCTTATAATATCGAACTGTTGTCCCCATCTCCCAGAGAGCGAGCCTGCTACCCTAGGCAAGGATGCGTAGCCATAAGAAAATACCTTCTTAAATCTGGGTTTCGTTTGCCCCTTCATCCTTTCTTTCGAGCGGTCCTTAGGTTATACGGACTAGCTCCTACCCAGCTCTCTCCTAATGCTTGGGCACAATTAGTTGGGTCTTATATTCTTTGGAAGCAGACTTCTTTGGGCTAGGATATGCCCTTTTATGTTTTTCAAACCATTTATCATCCTAGATCATTAGGCAAGGATGACTCCAAGGTTTGGTATTCATTGTGCCCCTGGGGAGGACATGCTCCTTTTGTGTCTGGTCTTCCTTCCTCCATTAAAAGGTGGAAGGAGACATGGTTCTGGGTTCGGGGGAAGTGGTAGGAGTGTGAGGGTGACACCATACCTTTTATTAAGGTTTCGACCTCCTACTCCGAACCCAGTGAGTACCAAACCTTCCATCCCGTTAGTTGTTCTTTATACTTCAATTTCTGGTCCGAACCCCTGTTGTTGATATAACAACTGTTGTTCTTTCTCAAGAACCGTCGAACATTTCGAGCTCGACCAGAGCCATTGGGAAGTCTTAGCTGACATTTATCGCCGACCCTCCTCAGCTCGACACTTTGACAATTTGGTCACTTCCCAGCGATTTTACGAAGATTTGTCCCTCATGGCTTCCAAACGTAAACTTATTTTACGAAAATGTTATTTTTACCTACCTCCTTACAGCTTTCCTTTACCCGTCTTACCATGGGGCACTTACGTTTGCAGAAAATTTCAAGAAAAGAAAAATGTCTATCCTGACATGGCCACGATCTTGGCTGCCACCTCCATTGCAGGCCAAAAGGGGGTGAAAGACATGTCTATCGGGGCAGACCGATTAAAGAGAAGTTGGAGAGGGTCAGCAAGGGTGCTACCTCTCAAGAAGAGGTTCGTCCCCCTGTACTGGACTAGGAAAATAAGGTTGTGGTGGAGGAGCCTAAAAGAAAGTTTCGGGTTCCAACCCCTAGCGGAGTAGGTAGCTCCAGAGATATGCCACCCTCCCAGACTGAAGTCCCTACGGAGGAAAAGCTGTTAAGTAGTTCCGGAGTGGCCCCCTTCAGATTCATATGTGTCTTGTAATTGTCCATGTGTTTGACGGGGTCACCTCTCCCATCGTACTTTTGGATTTTTGGGAGTACAAATAGGCTCAGCATGGGTGCACTCCTTATGGCCTCGGAGAAAGAGGAGTGCTCATTATCATACTTTTGGATTTTTGGGAGTACAAATTGGCTCAGCATGGGTGCACTCTTTATGGCCTCGGAGAAAGGGGAGTGCTCATTATCATCATCAAGGTCGCAAGACCTCTGAGGTTCATCGGGGTTCTCTTGTTTTCTCGGATTGATCAGGGGAGGTGGTTGGGAAGTCCCAGCTTCGCTTCTGGCTTGTTCCGTCCTATTTCTAGGGGACAGACAAGAGGTACCTCATCATCATACCTATTTCTAGGGGCCTGAGGTAGATTGGCTTGCCTATTTCTAGGCATTCTTGGACTTATCCTGTCGAAGACTCTTCCTGACCTCTGGGGTCTCTCTTCCTGCAGCCTTTCCGAGGCATGATTGTTAGACGAATCCATATCGTCCTCGTCTTCCTGTGGAGCTTCCCTTCCATAAGGGCGATGTCCTGCCATTTGGCTCTGGACCTCCTCCTCGTGGTAATAGGTTCGAGAATCGGGGAATACGTCTTCAGAAGTCGTATGTTGTGGACCCTGATAGCCTCCGTGTTCTTGCATGTGCATCACCATTTCATGCATTGGTTGGATCTGCTGAGTGATATTCCTCATGTTGGCAGCCATTTTTGCCATTTCTCTAGTTAACCTGGCTGAACTCCACTTCCGCTCCTGGGAGTTCCTCGTCTACGAATTGAAGACCTCGATTGGGCTATCGAAACAGCTCGTGAGGGTTTTCCTTCTTCAGGGCGTTCCCTCGTCCTTCTAGGGGCATTTTCGTCAGTGGAACTCATTTCTTGGTCACGTGATATACCACTTGGTTCCCTTTCTCAGGGGGTTTCCAGCTCTTTTTCAGTTCCTTTTTGCAAGAATATTCCTTTTTCAAGGATGAAAAACTCTCTTGGAAACATATCTTTTCTTTTTCCACGCGTGTTTCGTGGTTAAATGTTAGATTTTCCCACAGATGGCGCTAATTTGTTGACCCAAAAAAATGAACTCAACAGATACCGGGCCCACCATTGCCATGTTAAATAATGATCCGACGCGTTTCTACCGGAACAGAAGCGGTAGTATAGTTGGAAGGAACGCGGAAGGTGCTTTCCGGCAAGAGATACAACTGTTCAAACTCCGGCGATTTTATTTAAACAGCCATTGCGCTATCAACAAGAGTTAGATCGATTTCTCTAAAATGAATATATGTTTTGCAATGGAATATGTGAAAGGATAGATAAAAGAGAATATCTTGCAATGTGTTGTGAATTTAATACGGGTTGTATTATTCAAGATCAAGCCAAGGCAAGTGCATGCAAAAAATTCATCTCCCCTCTTTATACAATGAGGAGTTTATTTATACTAATCTAATTGACATGGTATACTTTTGGATTTTTGGGAGTACAAAGTGGCTCAGCATGGGTGCACTCCTTATGGCCTCGGAGAAAGAGGAGTGCTCATTATCATCATCAAGGTCGCAAGACCTCTGAGGTTCATCAGGGTTCTCTTCTTTTCTCGGATTGATCAGAGGAGGTGGTTGGGAAGTCCCAGCTTCGCTTCTGGCTTGTTCCCGCCTATTTCTAGGGGACAGACAAGAGGTACCTCATCATCATACCTATTTCTAGGGGCCTGAGGTGGATTGGCTTGCCTATTTCTAGGCATTCTTGGACTTATCCTGTCGAAGACTCTTCCTGACCTCTGGGGTCTCTCTTCTTGCAGCCTTTCCGAGGCATGATTATTAGACGAATCCATATCGTCCTCGTCTTCCTGTGGAGCTTCCCTTCCATAAGGGCGATGTCCTGCCATTTGGCTCTGGACCTCCTCCTCGTGGTAATAGGTTCGAGAATCGGGGAATACGTCTTCAGAAGTCGTATGTTGTGGACCCTGATAGCCTCCGTGTTCTTGCATGTGCATCACCATTTCATGCATTGGTTGGATCTGCTGAGTGATATTCCTCATGTTGGCAGCCATTTTTGCCATTTCTCTAGTTAACCTGGCTGAACTCCACTTCCGCTCCTGGGAGTTCCTCGTCTACGAATTGAAGACCTCGATTGGGCTATCGAAACAGCTCGTGAGGGTTTTCCTTCTTCAGGGCGTTCCCTCGTCCTTCTAGGGGCATTTTCGTCAGTGGAACTCATTTCTTGGTCACGTGATATACCTCTTGGTTCCCTTCCTCAGGGGGTTTCCAGCTCTTTTTCAGTTCCTTTTTGCAAGGATATTCCTTTTTCAAGGATGAAAAACTCTCTTGGAAACATATCTTTTCTTTTTCCTCGCGTGTTTCGTGGTTAAATGTTAGATTTTCCCACAGACGGCGCTAATTTGTTGACCCAAAAAAATGAACTCAACAGATACCGAGCCCACCATTGCCATGTCAAATAATGATCCGACGCGTTTCTACCGGAACAGGAGCGGTAGTATAGTTGGAAGGAACGAGGAAGGTGCTTTCCGGCAAGAGATACAACTGTTCAAACTCAGGCGATTTTATTTAAACAGCCATTGCGCTATCAACAAGAGCTAGATCGATTTCTCTAAAATGAATATATGTTTTGCAATGGAATATGTGAAAGGATAGATAAAAGAGAATATCTTGCAATGTGTTGTGAATTTAATACGGGTTGTGTATTATTCAAGATCAAGCCAAGGCAAGTGCATGCAAAAAATTCATCTCCCCTCTTTATACAATGAGGAGTTTATTTATACTAATCTAATTGACATGGTAACACGTTTTTCGAGAAATTATTTTATATTATTTAAAAGTTCTCGGGCGCTACAAATCCCCTTCTCTCTGTACAATGAGGGGTTTATTTATACTAATCTATTAGACATGGTGACCGTTAGATCAAATCCACGTGGCGACACCCCCTAAACTGAAGCCTCATATAAATGTCCAATCTTTACAATTATTGTTTTGCAGAAGATTCGCCGCTCTACTTTGTAGACTGACTTACTGACACACATTAATGTTACAGACACCCTATGGCAGATGTCACATCAATCATTTCTGAGAGATCTTTGAATCTGCTATGAAGAAACGTCTGCGTTAAGTTTCAGTACTTCGATCTTCAAGAGCTTCTGCCTTTGGGCAGAGGAGCCTCGGACCCCAGGGGCCTCTGCTTTCACATGAAGGAGTTTCGGACCTAGGAGTCTCTGCTTTCACATGAAGGAGCTTCGGACCTAGGAGCCTCCGCTGACCTTGCCTGTGTTGGCTCCCTTGTTGACTTTTCAACTGGCTTCCTGTCCACTGGCTGAAGGGATATGTGGCTGTTCGCACGGACTGCTGATCTGGAGCTCCCAATTCTGGGGGGTAACAGTAAATATACCCAATTTATTCTTTCTTGAGCTCATATGGACGATGCTAAGGAGTGCACCATTCATACAGTCACATCAACTTCAACGAAGCTGAATACAAATATAAGATATCGAAAATAATTTTTTTTTATCTGATTGAGTTAATAATTAAATCCATCAACTATTAGTTGATATAATTTCAGTTCTGTCCATAAATTACAGTACAAAACTAAAAAATTGAATTAATTGAGTTGATAATATATCAATCAACTACTGATAACTTTAGTTTATGTGCATTACACGCTTATAAAAGTCGCTCTTTTTCAACGTACAAATCTGGCACGGTAGAGTGCAAATACATAGGAGAAAAACGAGCCCAAGCTGATTCTGTTTTTCTTCGGCCCCAAAATATAGTTGATTCCTAGAGGGTTTTCAAAATCAGGTTAAGCAGTTCGTAAATTCTCTTATACTACGCCATGTCTTCTACCCTTGAAATTGAAGCTCGGGAGTAAGCGCCGCACCCTACCTACTTGCATCTTTTTACACGTCTATGTGTGTGTATCTGTTTAGTTCATGAAAAGTTACGTTTATTTTCCTGTTTGATATTTGAAAATTGGCATAAATACTGGAGGTTTTTAAAAAAGATTCTGACTTTTTCCAGATTGTAAGCTAAGGTGGAGAAAAATAAGATATTGAGAAATTTTGATAGAGATGTAATGGTATATGATTATTTGTAGATTTTAATCAGAGTGCAACAATTTAGTTTACTCACAAGTATATAGCGCAAAAGCTCCAATTTTCGTTAATTATGTATTGTATTAGCAAAATTTGTAGTCTTTATTTTCTGGGTCTGTAGCAAGATTTCAAACTGAAGTTAAAAACCCTTACTTTAGGCACTTAATGGTGTCTTTTTGGAACATCATTTTTCTGTGTAATTTTGAATACAAAAATTCAGGTACTGCCCAGATAGCTGTCAATGAATCATATCTAATACCTGATATGTTATTTTGATTAGAGTTACTGAAGGGTCAAATAACTGGTTAAATTTTCAAAAACCTAGGAAAAAGCATTATTCTAGTTTCCTGATAGGCAATAAGGGACTCCAGAAATAACTTTTATACTATAAATTCTCCATGTTTTCAGTTCTTAGAATCTTTGTTTATATTAGTTATGATTTTACATATTTGTTTGGCCGTTAATTAAAAACTTGCAGCAGAATAGTAAATGGAGTTATAGTAGTTTGGGAATCTCATCATACTTTTACTTGAATTTTATAATGAAAATATAATTATGCTTTGAATTCTAATTGATCTAATTTTGAGGCCATTTCCTGAAAATATTTTGTTTGCTCCAATTTGTATTTAAGTTGTGGCAAAAAAAAAAGTGGAAAAAGAGTTCGCAAACTTGATAATCTAAGTATTCTCATGAATCCTTTTCTCCCTCTTGGAAGTTGGTGGAGGGAGTGGGTATTTATTAGATTCCTGGCGAAAGTAAACTAATTTTAGTACTTTAACTAAATAGAGGAAGTTCTCGCCCATAAGCACAATGTTTTGATATAGCGAAGTTGCTGCTATGTCGGGTCAATCTGACTTGTAAAATAGAGACAGTATTGCAAAGGGACAATTAAAAGAAGATTTTACCACTTGATCGAGAAAATCTGTTGACTGCATTATATACCCAAAAAAATTACTTTTAGACACTGCTACATCTATTATCATTGGAAGACTGAATAACTTGTCTCATTAGTGTGATGTTCTCTGTATTGACATGATGTCGACAAGATTGTTACTAAAACAATTCGTCGACATGGTATCATCAGTAGATTATTGTCAAAGAAACTGTTTATCTTGTCCTTTTCATCATTTTTTTTGCACAATGGTTTGAGGAATATTCTGCATTCTTATTATGTTGTATATTTGCTAAGGAAATGTAGTCTCAATTTCCTTTCACTTGCAGTGTGATTAAAATTGTTCTTCAGTTCTGCAAAGAGAATTCCTTGCATCAAACTTTTCAGACATTGCAGAATGAGTGCCAGGTGTCTTTAAATACAGTAGACAGCCTCGAAACGTTTGTTGCTGATATTAATAGTGGAAGGTGGGATGCAATATTACCTCAAGTCTCACAACTTAAGCTTCCTAGGAAGAAACTAGAAGATCTATATGAGCAGGTAGGCAACTCCTAATATATCTGGAGAAATGTGTTCAGCTTGTATCAGCTATCTTATGGGGCTTGAAATTTTATTTAGCTTTTGTTATCTATCTTATATACCTTGAAATTTTATGTAATATCAGCCTCTTTAAAATTTCCATATTTTTTTACTACAATTTTTATGACATGATGAAAAGCTAAAGATCTGTAAAGAATGGAACACAAATAATTTGGTTATGGGAGACCTCAATTTGAGCCGTATTATTCGAATTATTGATTATTATCTTCAGTCAGTACCCTATAAGCCCCATGATCAAATGTGAGAATCTGGAAGAAAGTAATTAACACGAATGGTGATAATAGTAAACGATGTATACAAAGGCTGTAGGTATGCAGCCAATTTTTGGAGTGGTCATTTCATATTATTGAGCTGATCCTGTGACTGATCTGTGCGTTGACTTCCAGGTGATTCACTTGGTAACACAGGTCACAAATTAATTTGCAAATTTTATGTTGGTTTCCTTTGATCTTACATCTGCAATTAGACACTGTAAGTCAGTAAGAGGATTACGATCTTTTGCTTATCATTTTTATCAAAGACATAGGTGGTGCTCATACCACGTCTTCTTATGAATAATGAACAGAGTGCCTCCTATGAGTTTCAGTTATACATTTTGATCTTGTTTGAGTTAATACTGCACTTTCTAACTTCTTTTGTACCTAACAAATCTTTGACTTACTCTGTTTCCGTGGCATAGATTGTTTTAGAAATGATTGAACTTCGGGAGATTGATACAGCACGTGCTATCTTAAGACAAACTCAGGTGATGGGTGTCATGAAACAGGAGCAACCTGAGAGATACTTAAGACTTGAGCATCTACTAGTTCGAACTTACTTTGATCCAAATGAGGTCAGCATAGTTGTTCCAATGTTTTTTGGTCTTCAATTTTCTATCTATATGTTATGATATTGAGCATTGCCCTTTAAAGGACAAAGTGTCCATAAGATGAGCATAGAACAGATGAAATATATTAAGATGGACTGTGATACTAGAATCACTAAAATAAGAAATGAGCTCATAACTAACTAGTGAAGGTGACTTCAAGATAATTTAAAGGAAGCATATATATGGTCAAGTTATGTTATTGCTTAGACTTAGAGAAGCTCCGGTTCACAATATCAATGCAATCCTAGAATATATTTCTGGAAGGCAGAGTGATGAAAATTTTAACATTGTTTGGGGTGGTTGCATAGGGTTTGACTTCTTGACCGACATCCCTGGATTGAATGAAATTTCCAAAAATCGTCATTGAGCCTGAAATTGTTTGGAATAAGGTTTAACTTGTATTTTAGTTCTTCCATTTCCCAAACTTAATCTTTATTTTTCCCTTGTCCCATTAAGTATTGTTAAGTCGAGGCACGTTGTTGTCTAGATGCTAGTAAAAATTGTCTAAGCTGTAAGTTTTTGCTTGACAATAATTCATCAGATGCTTGTACCATTACCACATTTTTCCATACATATACTAGTACAAATTCATGGTAGAAGAATTGTAGTAGTCTTTCTTGGGCCATAGGCCATTCCCAACCTGGAGAATCTCCATTAGAGTGTAGATTACTTGCTAGAAATATTACTTCATCAGATGCTTGAACCACTACCACATTTTTCCATACATATACCAGTACAAATTCATGGTAGAAGAATTATAGTAGTCTGTCTTGGGCCATAGGCCATTCCCAACCAGGAGAATCTCCATTAGAGCGTAGATTACTTGCTAGAAATATTAGTGTTAGTCTATAAAAGTATACAGGTCTTCCAGTTTTTGGTACAATGTAGTTCTCATACAAATCTTACGACAATAGTTGCTACTGTCTTTAATTTTTTTGAGTATCCTTTTCTTTTAAATATTCATTAAGCCTCTGTTTGATGCCATTATTTGACAAAAAAAAAAGTTTTAAATAGTGAATTTTTGGAGAATGTGTGGTTAAAAAGTAAGAAAAGTTTTGGATCTAAGTGTAGAATATTTTATTGTGTGAATGTGTGTTTGAAAATGAGTACATGGAATAAAGGTTTTGAAATAATGGTTGTCAAACAGGGGCTAAGGAGTTAACTCTGTGTGTGTGATGATCTCATTGTTTCTGTCTTTTAGTAATTGATCTTCCATGAAGTTGCCCTGTAGTGAGCAAATAATGACGTTCCAGATGCCTATATTCTGCATTTTAGGGTGCACATTTCAAATTGCTATCTTCATTTGATCAAATTTGAGGAACTTTTATATAATTATCTCTACTTCAATAAGATGTTTCTCGATAACTTTTTGATTTTTTTTTCTTTTTTTCTCTATGCTTTATTTTATTTGGAGAGGAGAACTAACGATGGAAAAGATTGAAACTTGTCTCTACGGGAAACTATTTGGTCTTCGTATAAGATAAGATTTGCTAGAAATTCTCATTTATTTATCGTGGAATAGAGTGTTTGACTGGACCTTTTCATGGGTTAAGACTGCCTGGCGAGTTGCAATAGATTCCTCTGATTTGCAATAGGCCTGGAAGGGAATTCTTACTTGAAGCTACATAATTGATTTTTGATCCACATTGAGGCCTTGTCCTTTACCCTAATATTTTTGGAACTTTACCTTATCCACTAATAAAGTTCCTATTTTTTTCCCAATCACAATGATAATTAGTCGGAGGTTCATGCATGCTGGCAAAGTTCTGTTGACAGTTTCTTGCAAGGTCTGAGATAACCGTGGGAGCCTTGACAGAAGACAGGCTTTACCTGATATAGTCCATTTTGGAATAGAACCATAATTTTCGCCTTCATTTTTTCTGTTATTATTATTATTATTATTATTATTATGGTTTAATATCTATTTTAATAGTAAACTTCTGAAGTTTTTGCCCTTTTTATTGTTCTTATGAGTCTTTTTTCAAGTCTTGAATAATATGTTTGACATCTCATGTGCAGGCATATCAAGAGCTAACAAAGGAGAAAAGACGTGCACAAATTGCACAAGGTTTAATCCTGATAGGCTGCATTTCAATCTTAGTGAAGATTATTTTTATATCCTCCATTTCATTCCTCTCCTGTGCCGAGAGTTAAAGAAAAAGGTTGCATAATGTGTGCAATTTGTGGGTAACATATTAAAATGGAGTAAACAATGTGCAGTAATAGCTAAATATCTAGATTTGGCAGGTGACAATCTATTCAAATTCAACACCAATGATGTCTTTTTTAAATACAGCTTGGAAGTACGAAAACCCTAGTATTGGTTTGTGTAGTTCCTCATCGAATATCTGCTGATGGGACTTGGCAAGAATTCTATGTTGCATTATTATAATGGCATCTTCTGTCAATAAGTTTTCGGGATTCAATCACCGTATATAATAAAAAATATTTCTCTGGATGAAGGCTTCATGATTGCACTATCATAAGAGAGTTTGACAAGTTAAATTATTTATGGACATGGTTTCTCTTAGTCTACCATTTGTTCTAACCTGAACTTATTAACTGTATTTTCAGCCATTGCAGCAGAAGTTTCTGTGGTTCCACCTTCACGATTAATGGCTTTGATTGGCCAGGCTCTGAAGTGGCAGCAGCATCAAGGTTTCAAGTTAAAAAAACTCTTACTAGCAATTCGAACTATTATTATGGTGTGCCAATCCTTTGCTGATGTTAAAAACTGTTATCAATTTCAGTTTCCCTATTGAAGAAAAAAAGATCCGGATTGTAGTTCCAGATAATTTAAACATATTTTAATCAATGTTCTCTGGAACAGATTTTATGAAGATGACGTAAAGAAAAAATTAAATACCATGTCATTTTCATTTGGGGCACATTCATTGATTATCTTCAGATGTCTTTTTACCCACACGTTTTGTATATACCAGATACATTTTGAGCCTATCAAAATTGCATGAAACTACTGTTTACTTCTTAAAAGAAGCGATAAAGCAATGGATCATGTAGGATTGGTTAATGATAAATAACATTGAAAGCTTTTCACGCGATTCCAATAATATTTATTTGGCCAATTTTTCCTGGGTGAAAAATGGGATCATAACATTTAAGCATTATGTATAAGATGTGTAATCAGTAAGTTTTACTGAAGTTTCTATCTTTATTTTTTGTCTAATTGACATTTACAGTGTATTTCACCATATTCCTATATTTTTCTTGATCACCTTCTTCGACTTTATCAGGGTTACTTCCACCTGGAACTCAATTTGATCTGTTCCGAGGAACAGCTGCTATGAAACAAGATGTAGAAGATATGTATTCAACTACGCTTGGGCATACTATAAAGGCAAGTGATGCAACTAAAGTCTTTGTGAATTTTCAATGCATAAGCTGCTTTCACCGATTGTACTTGCATAAAATTATTCCCTTTTTTGATTGATCCCGCAGCATGGGTTTTTGTTATTCTTCAAGTAAAATGTTTGATCATTTCTGATCAATGAGCTACCCTTTTCTGTGTTCGAGTGTGGCGTGTTTCACTTTTTACAGCTTTATTACGATATGGTACTCCAGTGTCCAACCTATTCTTTCTAAAAGTAGTTCTATTTTTGATGATGCCGTTTTCTTTTTGGTACCTCACCCATCTGTATGCCCTTCATGATAAAGGAGTATTTATATATTTTTGGAACCATCTTGCAAATTAATAGAGAACTGAGGGGTTCTACCTCTGAATCATCTTTCATTGGCAAGTGTACCTTGTTCTAATGAAAAACGAAAATACATGCCAAATTACTGTTGAGTTTACTTCCTGAACATCTGTTTTCTTGACTGTTTTCCCCCTTTTCTCTACCCTTATCTGTGGATCTTAGCTTACAAATTTGGTATATTTATTGTTTTCTCGTTATGACTGTAGTTTGGGAAAAAAAGTCATCCCGAGTGTGCTCGTTTCTCACCAGATGGACAATTCCTTGTTTCTTGCTCAGTCGATGGATTTATTGAGGTTTGATTATTACAAATTCCTTCATTCCTATAAAAATCTTGGAGCTACACCTTGGTGCTCATTTTAGTTCATCCCAGGTGTGGGATCATATAAGTGGAAAACTTAAGAAAGATCTTCAGTATCAGGCTGATGTAAGTTCTCTCTCCTTTCATTTCTCTTTCCCGGCTTTAGTCACTTGAGTAATTTATTATGCCTATTCTGTGAAGTTTGCAAGTTATAACTGCTGATCTGTAAGGCTTAAATTACTTAATGATATGGTGTTATAATGCACTGCCTTGGCTGCAAAAATATGTTGTTTAGGAAGTGATCGTCGTAGTTTATCATTAGTTTATTGTATTAAAAGCCTCATCATTCACAGTTACCAAAATATAAGTTGGCATCTAAAAGGTTGGCATGTAAGGGTTTGAAATGGACTGCAGTATGTTGAATTCTTAGTTTTATTGGATCTTCTTGTTCTTACCTATTCTTTTTGTTATTTGTTCAGTACCCTTTAAAGGGGCCAGATAATTTATTTTTCTTTAATCTTATATGAATGTGATAATGGATACATATGCTCGTCTGTTTCATTTGTCTGATGTTACAATTTTTTTTTTGTTCATGACTAACAGCATTGATTATTTTTAATTTATTTGAAATTTGACTGCTCATAGAACTCAGTTGTGTTATTTAACTTTTTTGTGTTCTTTCTTTTACTTTTTTAATTTATCTTGTGCACTAACTGGTAATAACTTGGCAGGAAACTTTTATGATGCACGATGATGCTGTCCTCTCTGTTGATTTTAGTAGAGACTCTGAGATGCTTGCTTCTGGATCACAAGATGGAAAAATAAAGGTGAAGCTTCCTTTCATTTTCAGCTTTAATGTGAATCATCTCCAGTAGCTTTGTCTTCTAATTTCACGGACATCTAAAAAGAGGGAAGAAAAGAAGAATCTAGACTTACTCAACACAAAAAGTAAAAGAAAGAACACAAAGAAGTTAAATAATGCCCCTGTTTGACACCCATTTTTTTTTCTCATTCTATTTCTCTTTCTTCATTTTAACTACATATTTTATTAATAAAATAATATTACACATAAACCCAAAAATTCTCCTTACTTTTTAACCACATAATCTTCCATCAATCACTATTCCAAAAATTATTTTCAAACAAAATGGGTGTCAAACAGGGGCAATATTTCTTTTAGGTGAGTTATTATCCTCTGAATGGCATTTTTGGTATAACTGGGGAGTGTCATGGCATCCACTCTAATGTGTTGCAAGGTTTTCAAGTACCATCAAGTGGCTTGTATTAATGTAACAATTTAGCATTCACAATTGCAAATCTATTTAGTAGCTGTAGTTCTCATCTGTTTGAATATAGGTTTGGCGTATTAGGACTGGTCAATGCTTGCGCCGGCTGGAACGTGCTCATTCACAGGGTGTCACGAGCCTTGTCTTTTCACGAGATGGAACTCAGTTGTTAAGTGCATCATTTGACAGCACAGCAAGGTTTGAAGTCTTAAGGCTTGAATTATAGTATCACTTTAATCTCATGCCTCCCACCAGCCAAAAGAGAAAAATTCAAAAGGATAAGATAAAGAAATTATAGATGCTTGAAAAGAGGGCCTTTGTTTATGTGATTTTTGCTTTCCATATACTGTACAGAATTCACGGATTAAAGTCGGGCAAGATTTTGAAGGAATTTCGAGGCCATACATCTTATGTTAATGATGCCATCTTTACCAGTGATGGCTCTCGCGTCATAACTGCATCAAGTGATTGTACAGTGAAGGTTAGTTAACTTAGATATGCATTATCAATTGATGCCAAACTTTTCAGGTTTACAATCATATCTACATGCGGATTATATATGATTGTTGTCTACAGGTTTGGGATTTAAAAACTACAGACTGTCTGCAGACCTTTAAGCCGCCTCCTCCCCTTAGGGTAATTTTCTTGGCATCTCTTAGTGATCGCAGCTTGAATATCTTTGCTAATTTTAAATTTAATTTTCTCTAAATTTGTTCTTTTAATTTACGTTTGAATTTCTTAACCTAATTGCCTCTTTGTCTCTGTTATCTATAGGGAGGTGATGCATCTGTCAATTCTGTTCATCTTTTCCCTAAGAACACGGATCACATAGTTGTGTGTAACAAGACATCATCGATATACATCATGACACTCCAGGGGCAGGTAATCATAATTTACTTTTGATATCTACATGCTCTTTACTTCTTATGCTCCTCCCTCCTCTCTGCCCAAGCACCACCTAAAACAGCAGAAAAACCGAAAGAAACAAAAAGCACTTCTGTTTTTGTGCAAGGAGAAAAAAAAAGATATGAAATACTGAAAGAAACAAAAAGCACTTCTGTTTTTGTGTAAGTCGGAAAAAAAAGATATATAGTATGTGCTGTTTGGATATTTATCAGATTTTGTTTGGTGACCATATTTTCTCTAGCAATAATATGATTCTGGCCCTATTATGTGCTCAAATTAACTTACATAGTGTAAGCATTGCATATTTATACTTACATATTAAATTTCTTAAAATTTTGATATGCTATGCAATCAGTTATCTTGTGATAATACATATAAGCATTCGAAGAAGATAAACAGCCCCAGCTCCTATTTTGTATTGAACCAGATGCCTGTGAATCTTCAGGAGAATAAAATATATTCAATCTCATTTTGTTAGATACTATCGGAAAGTCGCTAAGTTAATCAACATATTGAGACTCATTCCAAAAATTAAGATTTGTTTCATTTTCTGGAACAAATTAAAACAATATTCATTTTAAGATTCAAGGTTTCGAATTTCTGCATCATCTTGTACTTTGATCAGTGGGTTGTCCTTCGATCCAAAGATTTCCCATGAGGGAAAGAGCTTGGTGTTTGGTGTTTATACTGGTTAATTTACTTCCACTTTAAAGTTTCTTTTTGATGTTGATGACAAATTGTCCAAAACTGAGGTCTCTCTTACTGAGCTGTTTCTGATGCCTTTGGTGAAGGTTGTAAAAAGTTTCTCATCTGGTAAAAGAGAAGGTGGGGATTTCGTGGCAGCTTGTGTGTCGCCAAAAGGGGAATGGATTTACTGTGTTGGTGAAGACAGGTAATGGTCAATTAAGTTTTATCTGTTCAGGGACTTGTATCTTTCTTTGCACTGTCATGTAGATTTATCTTGTTATTATTAGAAATTAATTGCTTTAATATGTTGCATTCTCTTGTGCCATACAAATTTCTTTCCTACATTCTCTGGTGGGGGTGAAAATCTGTAATTTTGGGAAGTCTTCATCATGCATGTTGTCTTGTAATTATTCTAGTATAAAGCTGAAGTTTCTTCAAAATAAATCTTCAAAAAGTGCGGCTAATCCCTTGAAAGCTCAAAGATGGTATAAATGAAAATGTGAAGACATAGCCGCGGGGGGTTAGGAGGAGGATGGGGGATGCACATGTGTTAAAACCCTTTAAAAGTAGCTTCAGTATCAGGAAAACAAAGGATCACGTAATTCCAGTGCATCCCGTGTCTGATGTCAGGATACAATGGAAATCTGAGAATATTTCGTATGGTTGCAATGAATAATGTCTGTTCATACCTTTGCTCAAGTGTAAGAGGGTTGGTAATAATTTTGAAACCGAATATGAAATTACCTTTTGTATCTGTTTCACTAAGTTATTTGATTTACATCCGGTGCAGAAATCTGTACTGCTTCAGCTATCAATCTGGCAAATTAGAGCATTTAATGAAGGTAAAATTCTCGTATGGAGACGTTTGCATGGATTTCTTTTGACATTGTATTATTATGGTTAAAAGTTGTTGCTGGTTTTGCTGTGGATCACTATCAGTTTGTGAATGTCTTTCGTTACTGGGCAGGTACATGAGAAGGATGTAATTGGCATCACTCATCATCCCCACATAAACCTGGTGGCCACATACAGTGAAGACTGCACGATGAAATTGTGGAAGCCATGAACTTTCCTATTTAATCTGATATTTGAAAAAAAAAAAAGGCAATTATTTCTCTTTGCAAGCTACAACCTGTACTATTCGGCATTCATAATTTTAATCTTATCGTTCTTGTCCTCCCAACTTGAAAGGGAGTAAACATTCAGACAACGAACATTTATGTTGCTAGCCATTTGTACCTGCTTCACGCTCATAAATTCTCAATTACAAAGAAGCGATGTAGGACTGATCTAGCTTAGTTGATGGGCTTTTGGCCATTTCCTTACGACAGTTCTCTCTTAGGGAACAATACATAACTAAGGTATTTAAGTATCATCATTTCAAAATTAAGGATTGAAGTTTTAAATTTCAAAAATCAAGTTTTCATTAAAATTTATTTATAATTTAATTATGAAATAATAATTATTAAATTAATTTATTATTAATATTTAATTCTACTATAAAATAATTAA